ACGCATAATATCATCTGCTCTATCTGCCTAATAGGAATGAAAGTGAGATAATAGCTACTCCAGTCCTTTATAAATAATATAAAGCAAACACAGTGAAACATTTTATGGTAATATATCGATTTCCCAGAATAAGGAGGCGACTCACACTGCATCCACTTGTAAAAAGGATCTGATAGTCCATGTTAGGAGGCAGAGTGTTCTCCTGTCCTCATCATTAACCACCATCAGCAGAGACTGGATTACATTTTATCTCCTTAACAGAACAACTTTAACTTATTTCATCAATCACAGAAACCCCATAAAATATCAAAAGGCAACACAATCCAGAACAGAAGGAATACAGCAGCAGGAGCCAGAGGACGTGTTTTTCCATGTCTTTGCTGCTGACTCATTCACTGCGTGAAGCCTGTTCAACTTTCCCAAGTCTCAATTTCACCATTTCTAAAACAAGCATAGCAGTATCTGACTGAGGCCTATCAGGGAATATATGAGATAATAAGTAATTCCCAAGCACTTGAGCTACCTGGAAGCATATACATGTATGTATTATCATGCATTTTACAGAGGAAACTGGGGCACAGGCAATTGCCCCAGGTAAGAAGGCAGCATCAGCATTAGACCAGAGTCTTTGGGTTTTTCCAGACTTATTTTTTCTTTTACACACACACACACACACACACACACACACACACACACACACACACACACCCCTGATTATGCTGTTACAGTTGTTCCATTTTTTTCTCCCCTTTATTCCCCTCCGCCCCCCAGCCCTTCCCACCAGCATTCCTCCCCACCTTAGTTCATGTCCATAGGTCATACATATAAGTTCTTTGGCTTCACCATTTCCTATACTATTCTTAACCTCCCCTGTGTATTTTGTACTTACTATTTATTCTTATTCCCTGTACCTTTTCCTCCATTCTCCACCCTTGCCCTCCTCTGATCTCTGTTTCTGTTCCTGTTCTAGTTGTTTGCATAGTTTGCTTTTTTTGTTTTTTAGGTTCAGTTGTTGATAGTTGTGAGTTTGTTGTCATTTTACTGTTCACAGTTTTTGATCTTCTTCTTTTTCTTAGATAAGTCCCTTTAAGATTTCAAATAATAAGGGCTTGGTGATGATGAACTCCTTTAACTTGACCTTATCTGGGAAGCCCTTTATCTGCCCTTCCATTCTAAATGATAGCTTTGCTGCATAGAGTGATCTTGGATGCAGGTCCTTGCCTTTCATAACTTTGAAGACTTCTTTCCAGCCCCTTCTTGCCTGAAAGGTTTCTTTGGAGAAATCAGCTGACAGTCTGATGAGAACTCCTTTGGAGAGAACTGTCTCCTTTTCTCTTGCTGCTCTCCTCATCTTTAATCTTGGGTAATGTAATTATGATGTGCCTTGGTGTGTGCTTCCTTGGGTCCGACTTCTTTGGGACTCTCTGAGCTTCCTGGACTTCCTAGAAGTCTATTTCCACCGCTAGACTGGAGAAGTTCTCCACTATTTTTTCAAATAAGTTTTCAATTTCTTGCTCTTCTTCTTCTCCCTCTGGCACCCTTAAGATTAGGATGTTAGATGGTTTAAAGTGGTCCCAGAGGTTCCTAAGCCGCTCCTCATTTTTTTGAATTCTTGTTTCTTTATTTTGTTCTGGTTGAATGATTATCTCTTCCTTTTGCTCCAAATCATTGATTCGAATCCCATTTTCCTTCCCTTTATTGTTGGTTCCCTGTATATTTTTCTTTATTTCACTTTGCATAGCCTTCACTTTTTCCTCCATTTTGCGACCATACTCAACCATTTCTGTGAGCATCCTGATTACCAGTGTTTTGAACTGCGTATCCGACAGGTTGACTATCTGTTCATCGCTTTGTTCTATTTTTGGAGCTTTGATCTGTTCTTTCATTTGGGCCATATTTCTTTGTCTCAGCACGCCTGTTATGTTGGAGGGGGCGAAGCCTTAGGTATTCGCTAGGGCGGGGCAACCCAGGTTGCTGGGTTGTGATGCTCTATGTGGGGGAGGGGTCAGAGAGGGAACAGTGCCACTTGCTCAGCTCTCACTGCACTTTCAGTCACTTTCCCCACTACCCACAAGCAGATTGGGACCTTCTAGTGCTGATTCCTGGGTGGGTGGGTTTTTGTACATTCGAGGACCCTGAGGGTCTCTCCAATGGACTTTCCTGTGACGCTGGGAGTTTCTCCTGCTGCCACATCACCCACAGATTTTTATAGCCAGAGGTTTTGAGACTTTCTTTTCCCATGCTGGAACCCTGGATTGAGTGGCCTGTCTTGCTCCCCAGCTGTTCCTCCTAGTTTATCCACAAGCAAATGTGGGACTTCCCAGCCCACCAGCCTCCACCTCGCCCTCCTAGTCCTCTAGCCGCTGCCTTGCCTCATGTCCTCTCTGCCCCAGCTGCCCATCTCTGCCCCTCCTACCAGCCTGGATGAATGTTTCTTCAACTCCTTGGTTGTCTGACTTCCACACAGTTTGATTTTCTGGCAATCCTGGTTAATTTTTGTTTTTAAATTTGTTGTTGTCCTTCTTTTCATTGTGCAAGGAGGCACAGTGTATCTATCTATGCCTCTATCTTGGCTGGAAGTTCAGCCTTACTTTTTCTTCAGCCACACTTGTCACTTCAAACCACTTAGATAGGTATGTCTCAAGTGCCGTTAACTTCCTCAATGATAAGGCTACCTAGAAACGGCTTCCCTGACTTTCCCTTTCTTGTTTCTCTGGAATATATATGTTTTCTAGCTTTCTGAACTTGAAGGCTCATCTTTGATTATAATGAAACCTGTCAACACCATGTCACTGATTTTAAAATCTATTCACCATAACATTGAATTCATTTAAACTACAAAACATTGTGGTCAAATTTCTAGGAATGTATACCCCTTCAAAAACACATAGCTTCTACTTATTAACCTTCTTCATTTCCTAAAAGACTGTTCTGTCACACCAATAGTTTAACCAGTTTTAATCTTTGATTCATTTTGTAACCTTCTAAGTGTTTTACTCATCATCTGAGGTAATGTGTGCTATGCGGGGTGGGCGGGAGGAAAAGGAGTGTTTGTGTATGCAGATATATATGACTGTGTATGAATAGAATTTGTATTTTTACTACGGGTAATGAGAATTCGTTTTATAATGGAAGATGGTGGCAAGGGTTGTGTAATACGTTTCACATTTTTATAAGTAGGACACAAAATGAAAACGACGTTTACACTTCATTTCAAATTCATCATGATGAATGCTGAGGAAAGCCAATGGAAACAAACTTCTGTTTTATCTGTACACACAACGCTCTCAATCTCTCTCTCTCCCCAAACAAATCTATAACGTTAAAAGTTCACACACACACCTGTGGGCACACATGCCCCTCAGGGTGGGAAGGAAAGAAAGAGGTACACCTATGCTGCATGAGTTTCACAGACATATCAGTGTAATGTACAATTGGAACACAAGATCCAGATATAGTATTTTTATGTCTCTTCCAACTTTCATTCAAACGTCATGCTCTCCACCACACCCAGTACCAGGTACAGTCTTTCCATGTGTGACAAGCACAGTGGAGGCCTTTCCCACTGGGCTTAAGGACACACCTCAATAATACTGACCTATTATCCTTTAATGAAACAGGATTTTACCCATCTTCCTAATTTATAAATCAAATAAACAAAGAGATAACACCCACAGTAAGTAAAGAATTGGAGCAAAGAGATCTAACATAAAACAGGTACCAAATTAACATGCAGGAAATTACTACTATAACTTTGGACTATACTGGAAAGTTCAGGAAATTTATAGTAGGAACAGTATTAGGTTCACAAACTTCCTGTTGCAAGGATGTGTCAGTGTTAATAATCAAGTAGATCTGGTTTATGTAATCATCTTTTTCATATTGGGCGTGGGAATAAACCACAAAATATCCTAATTTTAATATTCTAAGGGCTGTCTCCCCAGTAAGTCCCTATTAACTCTATATTTGTATAACAAAGTAATCAAATCTGTCAACATTTCAGAATAGGATACCTTATTATGTATTAAATTATAAACCTTGTCCAAATTATTAACTGAACTACACATAGGGCAAGGAAGTAATTTTAAAGATACCTGTGGTGACTGTAGTTCACTCTGTATGAGGCACCACACTACAGGGCATCAGGAAATACAAAGATTTGTGAAACATGTCTTTCACACCCACGGGGCTCAGAGTGTGTATCCGCATATGTAATTGATTCCTTAACATAGGTGTAATGCCTCCACAATGGCCAACCTAAGGGGTGCTTATATTATTGCAAAGCACAGCTTGTACCAACTAAATTGCAAATCTTTACAATGCAATTTTAAGAGAAAAAAGAAAGAAAAAATGGCATGAAAATACAAAAAGGAAACAATAAATAAGAAATGAGGCTGTCTTCGGTTCTCCTCTATAAAAGGAAACAAATAAAAGATGTGAGCAAATATGGGCATGATCACATCATTTTCCACCGCAACCCATCATCTCATTTCACTTCAGGACAGGAACCATCCTGTCATGTCCTTTGAGTCAGCTCTTGTACTATTCACACAGACAAAAATAACTGTGCAGTACATTCATTCATTTTCCACAGTGAACATTAAATACGTTAAGTATTGTATAATTCTTCAAATGACAGAAGACAAAGTTTACAAATGCCATACATTAACACCAATTTCCAGGGCTACTACATCCTTTCACCATCATCCTCTCCCCAAATTAAGCACATCTAAAGAATAAACCCATAAGTTCACCTCATAACATTCTTCAGTTACTTAAGGGGTCTAATTATAACACTGATCACTGATAAATAAAAAATAAAAGAATCAGAAAATCAAACTGTAATCGAAACATAAAATTAAAAAAATCAAACTAATTATCAGCTCCTGGCTTATTTCCATCTATTAAAAAAACTGGCCGTTTTTCCCTATTCAAACTTCAGATAAAATGTGCAACAGTTCTCAAAACTTGTTTGATGAAGGTTGTTAAAAGCTGAGTTAGTGCTCGCTTTGGCAGCACATATACTAAACTTGGAGAGATACAGAGAAGATTAGCATGGCCCCTGTGCAAGAGTGACACGCAGATTTATGAAATGTTCCATAATTTTTGTGTGAAATAGGGCTCTATGTTTGTTTTATTTCAAGCAATAGGGGTCCATGCACCTTATTTGTTGAATAAGCCTTATTTTCCCCATTGATTTGAAATATCAACTTAATCATATATTATATTGTTAGATATATAGTTTGTTTCTAGAATGCTCATTTTTTTTTCATTGATCTATTTGATTATTTCTGTGGTGGTGTCAGGTTGTTTTAATTGCTGAGACTTTATAATGGCTTTAAATTTAATATTTTATAATGCATTTTGACATTTAAAAAATAAATAAAATCTGCATTTAAAAAAAGAAGGAACTCCTACTTTTTGCGACAACATGGATGGAAGTGTAGAATATTATACTAAGTGAAATATGCCCGTTGGTGAAAGACAAATACCACATGATCTCACTTGTAAGTGGCATCTATTCAACAAAATTAATAAACAGAATAAACCAGAGGCAAGGAAACATGGAGCAGACTGAAAGTGACCAGAGGGGATGGGGAAAGAGGACAGTGGTGGACAGAAGGGGAAGGGACTAAACAACATGTATGAATGACCCATGGACATGGACAACAGAGCGGGAACTGACTGTGGGAGCGAGGGGTGGGGTGGGTGGAGGGGGGCAAAGGGGGAAAAATTGAGGCAACTGTAATAGAATAAACATGATTAAAAAAATAAAATAAAATAAAAAAATAAAAAGAATTTCTTTAAAACCCATAAGGAGCCATGGAGAAAATAGTCAATAATACCATAATTAATTTTGTATGGTGACAGATGGTTTATTAAAAAAAAGCTGAGTGATAGCATTAAATGATTTTACATCGCTCTGTCTTATTATTTTCATTTTTAAGCTCCGTGAAGGCAGTGATTTGTCTGCTTTGTTCACCAGTCTATCTCGAGCATCTAGTACAGTGCCTGGCATAGGGTAGACACTCAGTATCTATTAAATGAATACATGGTAATGACATTGCCTCCTAAAGGAACTAAACTCATTGTTATTTGCTATAGTTGTTCATTACATAATCAAGAGCAAACATTTAGCACTTTTAATGCAAATAAAATAAATATAAAAGGCATCTACTCTTGTCCCACTGGATAACTCTACAAAATAGGATGATTTCTGAGAGCTGATCAAGCCCAAAACATTAGAGATTATGTTTTTCCAGTGATACCAAATCCATAATATTTGTCAGTTAAAATGATTTTTAGAAATTCTTCACTTTTAGAAAATAAAAGCATTTCTGAGAAAAGAAGTGGGGTGGAAAATATAAAGAACTTAGAATTTTATGGAGTTTCCCCTCAAATTTGTTACACAGAAAAGAAAAAATTCTCAGTTGCCAACACATCACTGCCTTGCCTTTCTAAACTTTAAAACGGATACTTTTTGACCTCATAAGGAATAACCAAATCTTCAAAGGAAATCCACTTTAGCATTTCCTGCCTGCCTGCCCTAGTCCAAAATTAACCTTGTCAGTTCTTAGGAAGATATATAAAACCCCTTTAAATGACTAATTCAGATGAAGTGGTAACATGAAGCCATAGTTTATAAGACGCTGGTTTCTACTTGTTACCAGATGTTGCCATCACTTCAAAGTGTTGAACTTTGCATTCATGAAGAGATTGAGATATGTTTGCACGTGAAATATTTTCCACTGCTATTACTGTGGCAACATGTTCCCAGAGAAAAATTGTTGCCTCATTGTTTAATAAAACCTCCTTAAGATTGTCGATATTCACTTTAAGAAACATCGAGTACTCTGTTGGTCTAATTCTTCCATGTAACTCTTGCAAACACATATATACACTTTCAAAACACAACATGAATTAGTACCATTTCATTAGGAATATGTCATGAACAGCTTGCTTGAAGTTCTAGCTAAAAAATCGAAATTTGTGTGTGTATGAATAGTTTAGGGTTCCTTTGTCAGGTATAATTCAACAGTCGCACTGTTTTCTACTTTTACCCATTCTTCTCTGGTTATGTTAATGCCTTTGGTTATGCTGCATTAAGGCTTTTTTTAAGCTTAATTTAAAAAATTTTAATCTCAAGAGAGTTTAATTCAACAACAACACATAATGGTCATTGTTAAGTTTGCCCCAACACAGAATCCTGAACACAATGTAGATTTATCCTTAAGATTGACAGACAAAATAATGTAGCATCATAAAGTGTTATATCCCTTCTCTATTCAAACGACAATGCCCACGTGGTAAGATAATATGCCTATGTGATGAGATGAAATGAGGTGAATGACAGAGGCACTGTGATATGGTGTTAGGCTACCTACTGTAAGCGTTACTGGAACACAGGCACTGTAATCCTGAGATAGTTGGTATGATAACCGAGATGGCTACTAAGTGACTAGCAGGTGGGGACCATATACTGCATGGATAAGCTGGACAAAGGGATGATTCACATCCCTGGTGGGATGGAGTGGATGGTGCAGATTTCATCATGTTACTCAGAATGGTCCACAATTTGACACTTATGAATTGTTTATGCATGAATTTTCCATTTACTGTTTTCATATTTTGACTGACTGCAGGTAACTGAAACCACAAAAAGTAAAACTACGAATGGGATGGGTACTGTACAGCTAATAAAGTCACATTATAATGAATTCTGCCAGAAATCAAATAGCTTTTGTGGTCTTCACTTACTAAAAATCATATTGTTTACCAAAGTCATCTACACAAGAGTAACTTCTTACATTTCCCAGTTTATCCCACTCCCTGGTACTAAGTTATCTCAGAATTTGGATGGAGCCATTAGTAGGGTTCTTTTGATGACAGGCCGTCCTAAGCTCACTGGCTCTAAGAGTTCAGTGCTTTAGAGAATGAGCTTTTAAAAGTCTCTCATTAACAAACAGTAAGTGCTGGCAAGATGTGGAGAAAAGGAAACTCTGGTGCACTGTAGGTGGGAATGCAGACTGGTGCAGCCACTGTGGAAAACAGTATCGAGTTTCCTCAAAAAATTAAAAATGGAACTGACTTTTGATCCAGCAATCCCCCTTCTGTGTATATATTCTAAGAATCTCGAAACACCAGTTTGAAAGAATATGTGCACCACATGTTCTTAGTAGCATTATGTACAATACCCAAGATCTGGAAACAGCCCAAGTGCCCATCAGTAGATGAATGGATAAAAAAGTTGTGGTACATTTATACAATTGAATACTATGTGGCCGTAGAAGAAGGAAATTTTACCCTTTGTGACAGCATGGATGGAACTGGAGACTATCATGCTAAGTGAAATAAACCAATGGAACAGACTGAGGGCTGTCAGAGGGAAAGCGGGGAGCGCTCTGCATGAAAGGAGGTGAAGGGATTAGCCAATGAACATAGACACAGATAACTGTGGTGACGGTCAGGGGACAGGTGTGGTTGGGGGCTGGGTGAAAGTGGGAAAAGTAGGGGGAATGGGGACAATAGTATCAACAATAAAAACAACAGAAAAGAGTAATGTATATTTAAACAACCCTTGGGGAAAAAGAGCAAAAGTCATTTATTAGATCAAATAAATGTAAAAACACAGATAACTCGTATGTGAAGAAAGAAACTGAGATACTTGCTTATGATAAGTATCGTTATACAAGGGTGGGGAAAAGTAGGTTTATAGTTGTGAGAACGGGAGACACAGTTTATTCCTCTCTTTTTATTAATTATTGTATTATTTTCCATGTGAACAACTGTAAACCTACTTTACCAACGCCTGTATTGCTTTCTCCCTTAAATTACACTTTTTTCAATCACAGGATAAATAGCTTTACATTTGCTATAGCTGTGACCAATACCTAAACAAAGTTAGCAGTAGGTGGAGAAGAAATTGCTGATATTTTTTGTTTATTTAAAAAAATCATTTTAGAATAACAAATCACTGATATTAGTGGTAGCAAATTTCACTGTATTTATTACACTTAAACTATGAACCATAGACTATAACTTAGGGAAGTTTTCATTATTGAGAAGTAATTCTGCCAACTGTATTTAAGGAAGTGTAACTAGACTGTGATTTTTTAAATTCCTGCTTTCTAAGTCTAAACACATAATACCATATTTACAATGTTATAAGCTACCACTAATATACAGGATGGGGCAAAAGTAGGTTGACAGTTGTGAGTATGAGAAACAATTTATTCTTGTCTTATTTATAAATTATAGTATTATTTTTCCATATGAACAACCATAAATCTACTTTTGCTCCACTTTGTACTTTATTAAAGCAATAAAGGCCAATTTATAATATAAACAATAGGAAAAACCCAAAAGGGTTTCTTTGAGGGGTGCCTTAACCCTGAATCATTTAACAGTTACTTTTACTTTTTCTAATTTTATACCCAATAGTTAGTTTCCAAGAATGTTTTTTAAATTAAGAGATTTGTAATTTAAAAAATGTTATTTTGCATAATCAAAGCATGAGAATACACAAAATTTTTAATTTAAAGCCTTTTATTTACTGTTCATCAATAACAGATGCATCTCAAACTCCAACACCCTAAATCCCAATGTTAGTGGCATATTATGTTTTGCTATTTGAGGAAATGCATTTGTTTTAGACAACAGAAGAGTAAACCATACTTTTTCAAGGCAGAACAACAGGTTTAGGAATCTTGTAAACAGAAATCTAATGGGTGGTCTTAAAAATTTGTTAGATGTAAACCTTTAAAAAATTTAAATTTAGAAGCAGATCAATAATTTAGAACTTGAAAGTTATATACCTAAATCAAGAATGTGTCATTCCTTTGGAGAAAAATGCTTCCATTTTGGCAATTAAAAGAAGACATCCAAGTTATATCTGAAGAGGAACAACCCCTTAAAACTCGTTCAGTGATTTAAAAATCATAAAAATAGGCATGACTTTAAAAAATAAGACCTATGATGAGACCATAGAAGAAATTAAATTGTCCTCCCTAATGGAATTACCATTTTAACTTAATTAATATTAAATATGTAATTGTAAAATTCTAATTTATTAATACAATTCCTAGCAACACCCTGGGACAGTTTTTT